AGGCAAGCTATCCAGGCTATCCGTGGATAGACAGGATAGACAGTCTACCCAAGCTATCCAGACGAGAACGAAGGTCTATATAAGGGAATGGGTTTCATTACAATGTAGAGCTTCGTGCTCAAGAACAATCATTAGTTTCATTACTATAGTTACGAGAATTGCAACCAGTTACAACCTTATTGAATTCCTACTTGAAGTCTAGTCTAAACCACCTCGAGAGATCTCTAGACACTTCCACGTGACCCTAGAGGCAGCTTCCGTAACAAAGAATAATTATTAATTTTATTATTATAATTATGAAAATTGTAATTAATTATAATCTTATTGAATTCCTATTTAAAGTTTAGATTAAATTATCTCGAGAGAATTCTAGACATTTCCACATGATCCTAGAGGCAGCTCCCGTAACACTTATATAAAGAGATAATGAAAGTATTAGAAAAGTTAGATTTATTTGAATTCTAAGGAGGTAATAATGATATTGATTTTAAAGAGTTTTGAAGAAAACTTTATATTGCTTAATAGAATTTATTAGATTTTAATTATTAATTCTTATTTTTATTAATAAACCTTTATATAAGGATACCTCTATATATTCTTAAAAATGACTATAAAAACCGATATCCTTATAGAGAGGTTTTGCTGTACTAGCTAGCATTTTTTGATTCAAGCACCAAGATAAGGCCTTTCAATATCTCTTCTCATTATGTACGATGTAAAAGACCTTATCTAGGTCTTAACACATGCAACTCCAAAGAAGATATTAAACATTACTCATTGTTAGAAATCACATCCCCTAAGCTAGCCGAGCCCTCGAAAAAGACCCCACCATTTCCTGCCCCACACCACAAATTCATAAATGGATGTAACGTGGAGCTCTCTCTACTTGTGATAGGTAGGATAAAAGAGAACATAGAGGACCACCCATGTGGAAATTTTCCATTCACCCCACCTGTCAAAATTTCCCCTTCTATACGATGTAGGTAGGTATTCAAACTCAAACTCACAACTCAATAACCACCGCTCGTATGATGATAGAATTGAAATATTCCACAGGCGAAAAGATTCAACAATCCCTCGTCCCAAATAAATGACAAAAGTCTGTACTTCTTTCTGTCTGTATTCTTTTCCTGAGTAATCCAAAATTACATTATTGATAGGTATAGAAACGGCAAAAGGAATAGCAAGTCCCAGTTTCGATCTGGGGACCTCCGGGTTATGAGCCCGGCGCGCTTCCACTGCGCCAACTTGCTTGTTGGAAGAACTGTTGTTCCTATTTGATGGGAGAGCATGCTTAATTTCAGAGTATGTTAGGAGTGTATTGGCAAGGAAGTATTGTGTGTCAATGAATGGGATATGGGTGGTGGGGGACGAGGTGCAGTTGCGGACGGGAGGGAGGGCGGATGGTGTGGGTCTAGGTGGAAACATTTCTCCGCTCTACCCTGTTACCTCCGCTGAAGGATGGAAGTTATCTCTACTACATGCAGTAAATCGGAGATGCTATTCATGGTCGTTTACCAGTGTATTGGTCCAGCTTTCTAGAATTCTAGCACTATGTGTATAGTAAAAATCGTTGCTATCTTCTATGCTTTATGGGTTCCCTGTACCATCTTCCATCTTCCCTCCTTCCCAGCTCTCTACAATCCATAGCTCACTAACTCCTAAAGTTGTCCTACCGGCAATCCATCACCCTTTCTATAATTATGATAAATATTCACCTCATCATACCCCATCTCCTCTTTCTCTTTGGCCGAAAGTGCAAAATCATCCGTATAATCTCCATGCTACTTTTCCGCCCAATCCCTCAATGCATCCCAATCCAGACAATTTTTGTTCGGTTGTGTCCAGTCTGATTTATCGTGTCCTGCTATATTAGGTACTAATGTATAATCTGGATTACACATGATGAATTGACGGATTCGATCAAAACAGTGGTAAGGGTGATCTAGTGGAGGAAGGCATGGTTCTTTGGGTAATCCGTAGTCCAAGGAATGGTAGAGGCTACGAAGCATACGCTATTTTTTGTTAGAGTTTGGTTGGAAGACGAGAAATTTTTTGGAAAGATGGATAAATAGGGGGAAGCATACAAGACAATGTAGAACATGATAAGATTCGATAAAATAGATGTGTTTGGGCTCCGTATCACCATCATACAGATGAGTTGCAGTTGACTCAGGTATATTGTTCTTTTTGATATATGATTCGGGTAAAGCGACGACACCATGGCCAGGTAAAATGTTATGCCAGGCTTCATTACCATCTGTGGCATTGCGTGAAGTAAAAGGACTGGTGCGAGCGATCCGACGAGTTTGAGAGCGTTCGAGACTGAGTTCCGGAATATCTGTATGATTATAGCCTATTATTATCGTGATGAATCGTCAAAGCTAGCATGCACTAAGAATGAAAACGTAAGAAATAATTACCTGGTGAAGCAAGACATTTTTTTAAAGACCGAGAGCTGGTTGTTAGGATCAAGATTAATTGTAGAGCATTCAAGAGAATTAAGATTGAAACCGAGATCCCCAGTAAATTCTTGAAGAAAAATCTCATTTTTGAAGGAGCGATAGAGTGAGTTTCTGAGAGAAGTCCTTCACTTGACTCCCGATCCCCTTTCTTTTGATCATGATAGCTATCAGACCAGACTTCCGAAGAGCGACGATGATACAACACTTCTGGGGATGGAAGTGTTTCCACATCTGTAGCTGGTGTCATCTTATATAACGGTTCCACTAATGTGGTGAAGCGCATAGAGAAATCCAGGATGAAAGATTGTGGAAAACTAGAGAGGAACAAGTTTTGCCAAGTTGCCAAGGGATATGAGAGCTGAATTATAGATGTGTTATAATAACAAAGGATAGAGTAGTTCTCCAGCGAGGTATTCTATCGTGTTGATGATACAAAGAGATTCTAGGAGACTATTTTGAAAAGAGGTCTCAATAAGAAAAATAAGCGAGCACGAAACTTACGATATTCCATTATTTCAACTTAAGAAGAAATTGGAGATAGAATTCAATTATTTTAGCTCAAATTAAGTACATGAAAATCTCTGCAGAGGGCCTAGAACTTTCTTAATTCAATATGGGAATATTAGAGGTTCAAAGAGCTAAACTAGTCCATCACATTCACCTCTTTCCGATTAAATACCTCCGCTCTCTCCGAAGATTTTTCGCAGATTCACTGACTAGAATGTCACAAGATGTTAAATTAAATTGGCTTAAGTCTTTATTATTCTTTATTGAGCTTGTTTTTTAGATGCTGGTTACTTCAGTACACTGGTTCACATGACGGGATTTTAGCAGTGCTAATGATTCCAATCATTTAAGGATATGAGTTGCCTGTTTTAAAGGAAAGCATTCAATCAGAGTTGAATCTAGGGGCTTCCGTGTGGGAGCTGATTCAGTTCGGCATATGGAAGAGTAGTCATAGATAAACATTACTGCTCAATTGTGATGGTTAGAACTTGCTTCATAAAAAGTAAAAGTTGCCAATCATCATTTTGAGAAAAAAACTACCTCTATTAGAATTTTTAATTCAAAAAAACTAGTCCTGTGAGTCTTGAAGTACTCAGATTTTTCTCATCAACTCTTCTTCCAAGCGACATCAGATCCTTCCTAGCAGTCCAAACGCCATCTTTAATAGCTTTCATAGCCTCAACTTTTTAGGAACCTATCTCTTGCGGTTCAAGACTATTAGGCTTTGCCCATTCCCATACATGAAAGAGACCACCAACAGCAATTCTCTCTGGGCTGCTGCGAGAAACCGGAACAGGAAAAGGCTGTAAGTGCAGACTTTCTGGCACAGGTGCCCCCGATAGAAACTTCAGATGTGAGATGATCTGTGCCTCAAATTCTGTATCAGTTGAAAGCTTGGTAGGCGATTTAGTGAGAACTGATGTAAAATATGTCTTTAAACTATGTGGTCCTGCCAATACTGCTTCTACAGGCAATCTGAAAGTTCCGAGTTCTTGAATCTTGATCCTATCTTTGAGATTCTGCAAGTCATTGATGTTGAGTTTGGCCTGGATGATGTTCAAGGGTGACTTGGATTATTTTCAGATTCGAGTGAATATTTGTGAAGTGAGTAGTACTATTCGTAGATCAACCAAGGAGCAGATTAGTTTTGCCCAGCCTAAATCTCCACATCCGAGTGTTCATCCGAATAGTGATCCTATCCTGTATGAGAGGCACAATAGTGTAGCTTTCCATGAGTACCAAATTCATCTCAATGGCGGTTGTTTATATGTCATGCACAGGTTATCAAACATGGCATTTTCTCGATGTGAAAAAAACTTTCATGTAGCAGAACATATTATCTTCTCAATGATATCCGCGCAAAATTTATTCATTATCTCGGTGACGGAACACATCCATCCATACATATCAGACAATCACTTTCAGTTTTATAGACAAGAATTCGATGTTTCCACTTGAAAAGTCAACCTAGTCGAAAGGTGAATATAGACCATAATTCGAATTCAAAACTGAATCGTTAGTGAATATTCTAAGAGAGGAAAGGTTTCTGAGGTAACCTTTTGATTTTTGAACTTCTACACTTTACAACTTCGATCAAATATCACCACAGTCCCTTTTATTCAAAACGATAGCTCAATCAATTTGGAGTTCCAGTGATATATCAAATAACTAAAGACAGAACGAGCAAAATGAGCGCGATCAATTCAACTCAAGAAGGCACAGCTTCGTCCTTGCAAGATACGGAGCAATTGCGTCGAAAAGAGAGTTTCCTCAAGAGGTGTTCAGAATTTGCCAAAGATTACGACCTCTTGAACCAAGTTCTTACAATTGCCTTGATTTGTATTCAGTCAAATCCTATCGAGGACCATTATATGAACAGATTTTTTTATATTTCTTGGCACGATATACCTCCCATATCTTATCAAAGAACGAGACAATAACCCTTTGCCCCCACATGCAGTTTGGATGCATAGATATACTCCGTATTATAGTGGGAGTCATCCCAGTACAACATCGTCATGTCGTCAGATGTTAGATTCCCACAGCGGTTCCGAATTTGACCTCGCATTCAGAGCATTCTTGGATAAGAACTGCCAGTTTTTCCTCGAACTTTGCAAGAAATCAGCAAATTCTATGCCAGCCCCAGCTCCACTCAAATCACATGCAAACTTTAAACTTCAGCTTGTTCTCGTCGATCGTGCGCTCGAAGCTCAATCGAAGGCTTCTGTCTCGACAAAGGTTGAAGGCAAGATGGAAGATAAGTTCCAGGGTGAAGTTCTAGGCAAACTTTCGGAGTTGGCAGGATCCATCAAGACCGTAATTGAAGTTGTCGCCAACGGAGGTACGAAAATCGTGTCGAATGGGTCTAATAGTCCCAAACAGCCAAGTAAGAAAAGAAAGGGAGCACCAGAATAGAATAGAAGGCAGCAGGTATAGTATTACAGCCTATCTTGAGTTCCAAATTGCTAACACAGATACGTAGCTAGACAGCGTTGCAGACTTTCAATGGCATGTTTTTCAAACAACATTGCACAGGGAGTGAGTTTGTGAGCAAAGGATGGGCTGCTGAAATACGTTTGAGGGGAAGTCTCAGGGTTTTTGAACGTCTAAAATTACTTCGACATTTGTGGGGGCTCGGACGCTTGGGAGAGCTTGAGTTTATCATTCTCAACCTGGGAAACTTGATTATTATTGCAGCGTTACACGATGGTCTTTTTATGGTATTGAAATAAGGTTAGCAGGAAGCAAGTTATGCGGAATGAGCAGTTTAGTCGATGGCATGGTAATCAAAAGTGAAGGCAAACTTCTGCATCCAATCGATCTCAACTGCAACTTTAGACTTAGAACTATGATTCTGAAGTGAACGAATGCAATGAAAGGGTGAACTCAATTGTTGCAAATTCCATTATACCTGGGTAGGGAATTTAAAACTGAGTAGCTATTGAATATCTACTAGCTCAAGAATATTACGACCCACCTACCCGTAAACTAGTCCTTCTCCCAGCTTCAATCTCACCTCCACCATCTTTCTCAAAACAACAACTGATCCATCTTCTTCAAGTACCACTCAAGAATATTCAGCAAACTTCCATCACTGCATTCAATAAGCAAGCCACCTGTTGTCTTTCAGCACAATCGTAACTGCAATCGACGAGATGGCTACCACACTCCCACAACCCGAGATCGCACTTGGTTCCAGAATGCCTGTGATCTGTCAAAAGCTCATCTCAGATAATCCAACCTTTCCAAAGAATCATAGGTCCTTGGGGTCAAGTCCTTACGTTGACCTTGGTTATCCTGAACCATGTCAGGTTCTACGATGTTGATCAGCTCATCGTATTTGTTGGCATGGTCTTCCTCCCTTACTTGCAGGTGGAGCGAGATAACAATCCGTTATCGGTATTGGAACTTCGGAAACGCAGTGGATATACAGATAGTAGCGAAGTTGAACTCAGTTCGAATGGTAACATCATGCTCAACTACCACTGCGATACAAGGTTTCATCTTGATTTCAAAGCCCATTTGATGAATATCTGCAAATCCGTTCTCGATCTCAGCACAAGAGGACCAATAAATCACGATGCCAATCCGAATCCAGTTCAAGTTCCAAATCTTGAACTTCAGCTCGTCCTAATCGACTGGGTGCTTGAAAGCAAGGTGAAGGGGGCCCGAAATAAAAAACGAAAGTTGAAAACTTGTACGGGCTCAGAATCAGACTAGGGGCCAATCTGCTTAACAATTTCTTCCATTTCCAGTGAGTAATCTCCAAATTATGTCCAACAATAGCTACATGGCCGTTCAGTTTTGGATCGAACTTTGGACTGTATGGCAAATTTTCTGCCCCTTATCTCATAGCATAGCAATATATGTGAAAGTGTACTGATATTTGAATACATAGTTTGTAATAGCATCAATGGGATCCCTCAATGGTTTGGAGACTTCACAAAATTGAGCTATTATCTCCCGGTATTGGTATGTTCCAACAATATAACTCAAATAAACGACTGGGCTAACTTTTAACATCAATAGACATCGTAACACAAATATTTGACGATTTTTTGCTACTAGCACAGATAATAAATAGACTTTGATGTGGTAACACGGAGTAACGATTAGATGGTGGGTGAGCAGTGAAACTTTGGATGAGGTTGAGACGTGCTTTGCACTTGCAGCTTGAGTCTTCAATTCGGATTGACTTCACGTTCTTCTAGTATATTAGCAATAATACAATTAGAAGAAGATAATCACACTACCACAGCCAATAGAGTGAGCAGATCAAATAGAAAACGCGATGTTATCAGACAGGCTGTAGAATCAGGCATGTACTACACCTCCATTTTGAAGCAGATAGAGGCTTTTCCTTGCCATTCTCCCATCTACTCTTCCTAAAACGCCAGCAAATCCTCCAGACTCCCGAGCCATTATGCATTTCATCATATTCTCTGTCTCGACCGCTTCGCAATCATGCTATCATAAAAATTCATCCGTACTTTAGCCCGTCACCCAGTCATTAAAGACTCCTCATTTCTGCAACAAAGGGTCACCATATCTGGTTTCTGCCATTCACATTAGCATTTCTACTCCCCCTAGCCGCAACTTGTATAGAGAAACTCACTGCCATCCCAGTTCTTGTCAACTAGTCCATCACATGCCCTATCGTATTCCTCCTGGAATTTCTTTGAATTCCACGAACTACCAGGCGCACCATGGTTAACCTTTTCCTGAGTAGCGCTCTTGGAAGGTGTGGTAGCTGGTGTGTTAGAAAGGTTGTGGGCAGAGTAAAGATCGGGTGGAGAGTCAGGAGCTTCCATTGCGTGATCTTGTGTATGAGGTTCTTGACTTGAGAAAGCTTCGGCCCCAGCTGTTGTTGCGGGTTGTTCTTGATCTGTTGGAGAGTTTGTGAGATGATTGATTTTGGGGTTGAACAACTTGAGGCTGGAGGATGGGAGCTCTTATTTACCTGCAGATTCTTGTGCTGACATTTTGGTAAACTTTTACACCGCCGTAAGGGGAACCTATAAGCTGGAAAGTATCAAGAGGGCAGATTTATTCGTCTGATGGCAGTGAATATATTTCTCACAATTGGAGATTATACCTAACAAATGAAGCTCTGAAGTCAAACACCCCCACAGCCTTGCCCTGCAGGCTACACTAGCTAACACTAGGTAGCGTGGTGCATCCATACACCAAGCCACATCCCTTGCAAACCCAAAAAGCACACCCCTCCATTTTCATCATCTCTCCACAACTTATCACATTTCACTCAATTCTTCAGACAGGAATCAATACGAAAATTTACGAAATCCAATAGAAGATGAGCAAAAAATTATCGGCTCCTAGTGCTTGGGACGACGACTGGGAATCTCAAGCCGATGCATGGGATGCAGCTCCTACACCGAATAAAGCGGTCGAGGACGAACCCAAAATTTCCAAGGCTGAACTATTAGCAAAACATGCGGAGACTAACAAGAGAATATGGGAATCTGCGTATGTTTTGCTACACGCTTACAGTCTATCCTGTCTTGCACTCTAAATTACTAACACGAATATTCAATAGCGAAACTCCAGGCGGTCTTTCAGAACAATTTCCGTTCCTCCTCCCTCCAAGTCTGGCTAAGCCTGTCCCGTTATCTACACCGTACAAAGCGCCTCTTACACTTCTATCTCGAAAGCCCGCTCCTAGAACAGTTACTAAGATCGATCCTCGTACTGGTGAAACGACCACAGTTGAAGCAGAGGAAGAAGAGGAAGTAATTGTCGCAGGACCAAGTGCTGAAGAACTCCGCGAAAAGGCGCAACGTGAACGAGAGGAAAAGCAAAGAAAATACGACGAAGCCAGAGCCAGAATCTTAGGTACAAGTTCTTCGCCAAGAAGCAATTCTGGAAATGGGAGAGGGGGTAGCGGTAGTAATACTCCTAGGAACGGAACACCCCCTCTGCAGGCAAGGGGAAGAGGTAGAGGAAATGACGTTCGGAGACCAGATAGTAGGCCAGACAGTAGAACTGGACAAAAGGAATTATTCGATCCAAACTATACACCTAAGCCTGGATCGTTCACAATACAGAAGACATCTAGAAATGGGGAAGGATCACGACCAGCATCAGGCACATCTACACCAACATCACGAGAGAACGAACAAATTATTAGAGCACCAAGAGGACCCGATGCGACAGGTAGAGGATTTGAATTCGCAAATCGAGGTGGGAAAACGGGTTGATTTTCTGCTCTAGAGTCATCAACTACTACCAGCCTCCGCCAATCTTATTGGCGATTTCTATTACCCTTTCTGCATCACCAGCGTTCTTACCGACATCACTGACGACCTCCCTGTAAGTCGTGTACACCAATCTATCCAGATCTAGGCCTGTTGTTGTCGCCCAATGCGACAGGGTATCTTTAATGTATGAAGGCGAAATTCCTTCAACTAAATCATTACGGTCATCTACGCTCGGGGACTCGAAGTTTTCTTCCCCAGAGAAGTATGCCTCGTCGACTTGAGCCAGCCACAGTTTCTGTTCTTGTGGACCGGGTTTCGCATCACCTTCCAATCGACTTGTGTTTATTGGATCGTCAACCTTAATCTGACCACCCCCGTTGGTACATCCGCCCGGACAAGCCATAACTTCGACATATGTGTAATCAGGACCAGTAGCTTTACCATTCGGCCGCCTGGCACTTCCAATTGGTTTACCACCTGGCATTCGAGACGGCTTGGCTGGCTTTAATCGTCGAACAAGATTCTGTATATTCCGGAATCCATAGTATCGAGCTGCCTTGAGTAAAATCTCGCCATTATCTGCGATAACAGTATAATCCACAACATCTGCGTTACGGCCTTTAATGGTCTGGACGAATGATCCCTTATGCTGCGATGCAAAATAATGAAGGGCATAATGTAGGTTTCCACCAGAAGAACCAGCCTCGCGGCTACCATTGCCACTACTTCTGCGATTAGATGGGAAAAGAAAAGAGTTTAACGTTGGATCTGGGAATGGTATATGCGAGGATGAAGGTAGTGGAGTCCGAGGTAATTTGGAAAAGTCAATACGCCTAGAATCTGCGAGCATGAGTAACTCCTTGCTCGTGATAACAGAATCAACATCTCTAACACCCCGAGTTCCAGTCCCTTCCCAAACGGCGTCGGTCAATTCCTCTCGACTAGCCTCTAATTTTTTATCGAAACATGGCATAACCGCTACATGCCATATCCTCTCGGGTGAAATGCCAAGTTTCCGACTTAGTGTAGTCTTAATAAGAGTTCCCATCAATGCTTGTGGCGACTTCATCCGTGACAAATGTGGTAAAACGTGTGGGTGTGTCTTTTCCGCGTAACATACCCATCCAGGACATGAAGATGTCAGAATAGGTTTCTTGGTTTCTTCTGCGCCGTTCATAGAAGCTATAACTTCCTCAGCTCCAAGTACCAAACATGCCTTCCTTGTGATATTGGTATCAACCACCCATTGAAACGCATTCCGATAAACCGCTCGATTCTTTATCCCCTTTGGTCCACTGAGTAGATGCTCAATCATATAACCTGCTTCTCGTTCGGTGACTCCAAAAGTAGCCGCGATACTTGCTCGCGATTGTGGACTCACACTTGCGACATATATTTTCCCTCCTTGTTCGAGTCCCTCTACGGTTACACCTGTTCCCGTCGCACTTTTATGTAGGCGAAGACCAGGTGCTGAATCTAATTGTGATAATACTTCGGCATGCGATTGTAATGATACAAGAACGGCTTCGGCGGATGTCACACATCCAGAACATGCGAGACAGTCTGTGAGAGATATTTGCGCAGGGGGTAAATCAGATGGAAGGGGGGCGTCGGTGTTGAAAGATATTTCGAGTTCCTAGACAGATACATTAGGGTTAAGTTGAGAGGCGAAAGATGAGAATATGCATACATTATCCGCAGAAGGCTTCGCAGCAGGTAAAGTCTCGACAGGTTTTATACATGCGACTCCTGGGGATATAAAATCGTTCAAATCGTCTGCTGAGAGAATCGCGCTCATGATTTCGATGAGGGGGTGCAGACGCTGAATGCGCCGCTTTTTCTTGTAAGTTATTATTCTTATAAAGTTGATATTTTCCAAGTTTCTCTTCCTGCGCGTAGGTTGGAAAGTAAAAAAAGTATAAATATTGTATAAATTTCGGAGATGTATGAATCTGAAAGGTGGATGAAGTCTCGTTATCTTTACAAAAATTCAAAGATTGGAAATCATTTACAATCACAATTAAGATAATTCGTCGAAAACTGATTGCGAGGATCGGAGCACGGAGATGGTGGCGCTGACAAGGGTTGGAGAAAGCAGCCCCCTCACTAAAGATGCAGAGATGCCTTGTAATTCCAGATTGTTGCCTTGAACCGAGAACGATGACGTAAGATTAATATTTTTGAGATGTTGGGGATGAGCTCTTAGAACTAAATAAATGCACATAACAAGAGGCACTGTGACCTTTACTTGAACTTGTACTTTTAATGTCTTTCAATATTGGTATCTAAAAGTAAAGACTGAAAATATTGAAGTACAAGCAAAGCTCTTTTCAATAACCATAGCAATCATGGACGTATGTACTTAGTCTCTCGAATGCTGCAAATCTAGTCTACTGACAACTATAGGTCTTTTACTCCTACACGTATGGAACGGCAGGATGGCTTGCATTACAATCCCTACCGTTAATCATATCACCCACGATCATCATTACAATGCTCTCACCTGAATATCGAGATGCTACCAGTAAGTACACTCTATAATGTTCTATCAAACCTAAAAACTACATTCTAACAGCGCCTAGCTCTTGAAGAATACTTCTCCCGGTCACTTGGCTTCACCCTACTGACTCTGGGTATACTAACTGTTCTCCTGACCGGATCTGTTCCCCTCACATCCTCAATATCCGACACTACCTCCTCTGGAGTCACCTCTTCCGAAAGCGACCCCAAAGCTCCTTACGCAGTCCCCGTTCTCACGATTAGCACTCTCTATCACGGTATCGTAGCATTTCACTGCTATGCACGCTACACAACCATGGGTACCTTTGCGTTTGCATTAGGATCACTTGGTTCAACGACTTTATTTGCGATTGGAGGGTGGTGTTTACTTTTTGGAACATCGCATGGAAGAATTAGTAAAAAGACGGGAGCGGACAAGAGGACGAGTGGGTTCCCCTTTGGAAATCAGGAGAGCGCTAGTGCGAGGAAGAGGGCTAATAGAAGGGGTTTGTGAGGAGGTGAAGAGAGTATATTTTGAAGGAGTTTTGAGGGACCAAGATGGCTGGATTGCTGAGGATTGTTATAAAGGTTGAATACAGCGAATGCCTTTAAAGGGAGAAATACATTATGAGCAACGCGGTGCTGTGAACTGGACGAGAGTTAAATGCCATATAGGTGTTATGTTGAGACTTCATATACCACCTGGGATATGATTCGGATGGATTCGATTTGACGATTATACTATCAGACATACACCACATCCCATCACCTTATATACCAAAATTCTTGGCAAGGTAAACTGAAAATCACCTCCCCCAACGGCTCCCTCACCTCGTTTTGGAACAGCTAGAAACGCCTCAGTCAGCAGCATACTTACAAAGCACGGCATTAACGATCTTTCATCCGGATATCTCCTTGATCGTTCCTTAATTCCATTACCACAGTAAGACTTGGTATCGGAAATGAACTCTGACAGAAACCTTTTCTTCGTATGGTTGTCCATTGTCCGAAAGTTATTTTGGTGTTGCGTTACATTGGCATACATTCACGATACCAAAGTATAACGTATGCACATCTCAAATAGTAACACATTACCATATACATCAATAAACATCTAACTTAACCCTTGCACATGTCTTACTACTGACCTTGGAAAACCGAACCCCAACTCCATGGATTTTAACTACTAACCCCGAGCTCGCCAATAGCCGCACCGCCCCTATTGCCAATGATGCTGAAGTGGATTTCCCATGATCGATTGCATCGGAAAATTAATGATGATATAATGATCTGATAAAAGATTACAAATCTACGATTCCAAGGTAGGTATTCTGAGAATCCTTTGCGCAGGTAGATAAAGCATTATATACCTAGGCAGCGAGATAAGATATATAAAGACGATAGATATTCCGTTTTTACTTCTTGCATTCCAGCAAGAGCTACCTACCCCACTATTCCTACAATTAAAACAGCTGCTGTCTAATTGAGCTACCCCTCCATCACAACTCAATTCCCAAACCTTAATTCAAAAATTAAATAAACACTCAATTATAATACCATACAAAATCTCAGCTCGTCAGCAAGAGAAGAAGAATCATCAGCAAAAATGGTTCAATTACTCGGAAAAGACATTGGTACCACTGGATATGGCATGATGGGTATGTGTTTCCCCTTCGCCCCCCTTCTCAATTTCTCTGCTCATCTCAATTCCAAACTAACCTCCCCTTCTCCAGGTCTCTCTTGGCGCCCTGAGCCTCAACCTCTTGAAGAGTCCCTCAAAACTCTAAAAGCTGCACTTGACAAAGGTTGCAACTTTTGGAACGGGGGCGAATTCTACGGAACGCCCGAGTACAATTCCCTCACCATCTGCGCTGCCTACTTTGAAAAATATCCAGAAGATGCAGACAAGGTTGTCTTGAGTATCAAAGGTGGTTTAAATCTACAGAAATTTGCTCCTGATGGAAGTCCAGAAGGTGTAAGAAAGAGTGTGGATACGTGTTTAGCACTTTTAAAGGGCAGGAAGAAGATTGATCTTTTTGAGTGTGCGAGAGTGGATAAGAATACCCCGATTGAGGTTACGATGAAGGTTTTGGAGGAGGAATATGTGAAGACGGGGAAGATTGGGGGAATTTCTCTTAGTGAGTGTTCGGCGGAGACGGTCAGGAGAGCCGCGAAGGTTACGAAGATTGTGGCCTGTGAGGTTGAGGTTGCTTTGAACACGTTGGATATTTTTCAAAATGGGGTTGCCGAAGCTTGCAGAGAACATGATATTTTGGTTGTTGCGTATGTATTTCTGATTTCTATGGATGATATAGTATGGCTAACGAAAAACAGATACTCACCGTTAGGCCGAGGTTTGTTGACTGGTGCTATTCAAAAGCTAGAAGATATCCCCGAGGGCGATATGCGTCGAACCTATCCACGATTCCAAAAAGAACACTTTGAGCACAACAAGAAGCTTCTTGATGCTGTGACAAAGATTGCGGAGCAAAAGAATTGTACAACGGCTCAAATCGCTGTCAATTGGCTCAAAGCTATTTCCAAGAGAGACGGCAATCCAGAGATCATCCCAATTCCTGGTGCCACTACAGTCGACCGTATCGCGGAGAACTCAAAGGAGGTATCTTTGAATGCAGACGATTTGGCAGCGCTTGATTCGATAATAAAACAATTCCCAGGTTCAGGTCATCGTTACCCGGAACATGCACAAAGCACACTAGAAGGTTAAAAGCCTTGATGGAAGGGGAGGAGTTAGCGATCATGTAACAAGAGTGAAGTAGTACACAAGGAATATTTGTTAAATAGTAAAGCTCAGAATAAATTGTGTAATGTGTTTCTGTCGACTTGTAGATACAGTTGCCTGTATCATTCCGAATTGCAGAACTCGAGGGTTATTCATCATCGCCGAACAGGAGAAAAGAAATGTAATAAAGCTTGAGCTTACCTATATAATGATCACTCTCGAGTCTTGCAGTAGCTACAGTACTGCTGCTATATCTGCCGGACAAAATTCATCGCAATTGAGAAATTTGATGAGACGAAGAGTATTTTGAAATATTTTATTATTGAGAGAAAATGTTTGACACATCGAATTGAGAAAAGTGGATAATTAACAATTATATACAAGCTACACGGAAAGTTCCGCAAGCTCTTGGCTTAGATGCTTCGCGACCGACATCATTAAGTGCAACCCAACTGCATATTCGCAAAGCTTCTTTAAACACCAACTGAACTCGAGAGAATTCACCACTTACCTCACCTTTTCAACCTTCACCTTCAACATAATTGCGATCATCACTTCTACTATTTAATTGTTACTTTTGATCTCTCCAACATGGCCGACGACTCACCTCCAGGATCTCCCCTCTCCGATCTTTCCTCAGACGCTTTTGACGACGAAGACAACGACCGGATGGCTGCAGATGCTCACATGCCGCCTGCTAAGAGGCAAAAAACAAGCAGCGACGAATCTTTGCGCATCGCCACCTCTCGTATCAAAATGGATGGAACAGATGGTTATTGTTCTACTGATACCGAAGGAGACATTCCAGACTCTCCAAGCATCGTTCAGCGACCCGAAGATGCTCTAGATGATTTACACGAACAAATTACTGTTTGCGCATGGCTTGGTTGCACTAAGGGAGATTTGGGAGATATGGATCAGTTGGTGGAACATTTACATCATGATCACATTGATTCTAGACCGAAAAAATATACATGTGAATGGTTAGCTTGCCCAAGGAAAAGTCAACCACAAGCAAGCGGTTATGCTTTGAAGGCACATATGAGAAGTCATACTGGAGAAAAGCCATTTTATTGCGCATTACCAGGTTCGTTGTCTGCAACTGAATCTTAGAATAAAGCTAACAGCCAATTTAGAATGCGATCGCGCTTTCACACGTTCTGATGCTCTTGCCAAACACATGCGAACAGTTCACGAAACCGAAGCTCTTCGTCCTTCTGATCCTATTCCAAAACATATTCAAGATCATTCAAAAGGTCTACCTAGACATCCTCAACCTAGAGTCGTCATGAAACCATTCCCAGATTCGAATCCAATGGCAGGAGCACATATCTCACCCTTGGTTCAACCCTCGTTAATGGCCACATCATATCCTCCTGAATTGGGAATTACTTTGGAAGAAGAAGCGAAAGGGCCAATTGAGCTCTGGAAGTTACTACGAAAGCAAATACAATGGGCGGAGGAGGAAGGCGAGGCGCTAAGAAAGCAATGTGAGATCATGGAAGAAATAAGGAAGAAGGAATGGATGGAGAAGGAAGTTTTACTCGATGTTGCCATTGCAAAAGACTTGGAAATGGAAGCGAAAAGAAAGGCGGCCTTTGCTGAGCTTGCGAAGCTTCCCAGGGAGGAAGTTGATTACGCTATGAATGAAGAAGCAAATTCGCCCAGTTTTCGCGGCGCTGACTATGCGGAACACACACCAAACACGGCTATGTCTCCAAGTAGGACTCCATTTTCACCTAGAGATCTGACGCCTTTGGAACAGAGCCAAGGCCCTGTTGAAGCGGATGCAGCGGAGGTTTTGACTTCTATGGCACATGCTTAAGAACGGGAAAGGCATGGGATAGGAGGGCATGAAAAGCGAGAATTTTCTAGGGAGCCCCTACATGTCCAGACGTCTGAAGGTTATCGGAGTAATAAGATAAGTGTGCTGGAAGGAGTAAAAAGGGTTATAAATTTTTTATGAAATCGACTGATATTAATTCGGATAATCAGATGGACACTATGGCAAGCAAGGCGTTTTCTAGGGCAATACACATGTGTAGGATGGAAAAGCAGAGGTTCAGCTTCCGTGTGAATTAATAGTCTGGCAGGATTTCCAAACATTAAAGCGATGTCTAATACTATAATGAATTCTTGAACAGTATTTAGTGAGATTTGGTATATTGATGACAGTTGTTAGAGTATGATGCTTGATTTGACTATTTATGATTATAGAGTTAAGCGAAACGTTTATGTAGCTGTTTAAAAGTACTAGGTAGGTACGTATTGGTGATGAGAATAGTATGCTTTTTGGGGGGGGTTTAGTTGAGTGATTTATCTGATACTTAGTAGTGCATTGTTAGGTAGTTGGTATTAGATGAATAGCAAGTTGAGGGGGAGGTTAAGCAGTGGGAAAGTGATTGCACTACCTAAGTAGGTGGGAGGTAACAGACTAACAATCGTTGTATCGGAGTTTAGTAAGATTACAGTAGGTTACTGCAGATACCTGCCTATTCAATGGAATGAAAGTGAAGAGATATAGTTTAGGAAAAGTAAAGTAAAGTAATGATAATGATAATGGAGTGAAAATGTACATGCTACTTTCTAGCATCTATCTTTCTGTCATTTTTAGAACTTGTTACTTCGATAGATTGGATGGGTAGGTACGTACGCAATAGAAAGGAGAGGAGATGAGATGGTTCGCTTAATTTAATTTTAGACTTTTGGTGTTGGTTTTGTGATGGTTTCGGTTTGGTTTGGTTTGGGTTGGGTTTCATAAGTGTTATTTTATTTCATTTTATTTAGTGGTAGTGGGTAGTTGTATGTGCTAGGGCACTAATATGATATGATATAGAATGATTTGACTGGGTTTAGTTCTCTTGTTGTTAGGGCTGTGATTAGATATGAATGAGGCTTTAAATATGAGATGTGCGATAGAAGGCAAGGAGACGTTTTGCTTGATTCTATACTTCCTTGGTATTGGGTGTTCTGTCAGCCGTGGGCATCTTTGTAGATATGGAATGAGATAGAAGGGACGTGGATAATTGTAGTCTTACGGGATGGTTCTATTGTAGAATTGCTATTGTTTGCTCGCTTAGTGCTGATGTCTATTTGCGAGAGGCAATCTAAGAGTTGTAGAGAAGTTAGTGACTTAACAAGGCTTTAGCGATCTGTTCGTTATGAATCGATTCAGCTTTTAGATGCTTCTTTCTTTGATATAATTCACTTTATTTTATACAATATTTAAGTTCATTATAGAATTTTATCAGTATTATTTGGTTTGATGGTGCACACAATGCGAAAGTCATGTCAATCTTACGAGATGAGTGTTTGTATCAAGGTGAGATACTTGTGAGTTTCATGGTACTGGCAGTCAATTGAGATGATTTTGATGACGATATGTGCTG